TGCTTTTCCCAAGCCATTATCAGGAAGCTGGAGTGGAAGTGGAGCAGCCAGGACTTGAACCAGTGCCCATATGGGATGTCGGTGTTGCAGGCCATGGCTTAACCTGCAGCACCACAGTGCTGGCCCCTACACTCCTCCCATTTTTAAAAATTTATTTATTTGAAAGAATTACAGAGAGAGGGAGAAAGAGCGAGAGATCTTTCATCCTCTGATTCACTCCCCAGACGGTTGAGATGGCCAGGACTGGGCCAGGCCAAAGTCAGGAGCCAGGGGCTTCATCTGGTCTCTCAAATGGGTAGCAGAGCTCATGAACTTGGATCATCCTTTTCTGCCTTTCCCAGGCCATTAGCAGGGAGCTGGATCGGAAGTGGAGCAGCCAGGACACAAACTGGAGCCCATATGGGATGCTCACCGTGCAGGCGGCAGCTTTGTGCTCTACAACACAACACCGGCCCCCAAGCTAGTATAATTCCACAACAAACATTTCAAGGATAGCACATGAAAATAGAGCGATAGAAAAACCTCATCAATGAATTCCTTAAAAAATGATCAAGCTTAACGTAGCTTTGAGTTCTGTATTTTATAAAGTGACTAAGTTTTGTTTATTACAGGAATGGAGAGTGGTCTAAAAACAGAAAATCTATTAATGTACCTCGGCACATTCATCGACTGAGGGAGTAAGGGGCTAGAAATGGACCTACAGAGGACTTCAAAGGAAGTGCTCTTTTTGCTCAAGCAGCGAGTATGCATTAGTTAGCTTTTGTTGTGCAACAACCAACCACAAATTTCAATAATACAAAATATGCATTTACTTTCAAACAGCTTCAGGTAAGCCAAGGGCTGGCTATTTCAGCTGGGCTCAGTTGGTCAGCTCAGCTTTTAAGCTGCGGTTCTGAGGGTCAGCTGGGTGACCACAGCCAAGGTGTCTCTCACCGAGTAGCCGTTCCCAGTTCATCTTATGGCAATGCGAGTATTAAGAGAGTGCACTCGACAAGACCAACACGATTCAAGCCCCTGCCTGCATACTTTCTGCCATTATTCCATTTGGACAAAGCAACTTGCATGAATGAGTTTAAAATCAAGGCATGCTTTTTATGGTGCAGATTTGAGGGGGAGTTATACAATTGGGGCCAGTGACTCGGGATATTTCACAGGGCCTCAGGGGTATTCTATTATTTATAACTTATAATATATATGCACAGCTACATTATAGTATATACAATTCCCACATTATATTTATAATTTTATACATACAACATATTTCATAAGTATTCATTAAATTCGCACATTAAGTACACGGGGAACCCTTCCTGTTTCCTAGTCTCATCATCTTATGCAAAGAGGAAATGAAGTTGGTTTGGCAGGAGTTGTTCCTCATGATCATCTTTTTCATCTATTCTTTCTTTTTTTCTATGCTTTCAACCTCTTCCAAAAAGGACTCTAAGAGGCTTGCAAAGCCCCAGGACAAAATAAGTTCATAACAAGGAAGAAGGCAAGCCAAAAGAAAATCAAGGTTGCCAAAGCAAGACATAGCAGGAGTGACGTCAGCACCCGCCTGGTTCTTCTCCGTTTTCCTCTCCAGTCTTCCTCCCAACACTGATTCATCCAGGGCTCCTGTGTCTCCTGGCTGCTTCTCCTTAGCCACAGGTCTCACTGGGTTCTCCCAGGCACTGGGGACTCTTGCTGCCTCAGGACTAGAGGCTGGGGTCACTTTCTGTGAAGCAGCCCTTGCTGGCCCCTTTCACCTTGACACACCTTTGTCACTACCTCACCAAGCTCTCTCCCTTTTGAGAGTGACATATTTTCTGCCAAGGACCCTGACCACAATAGGCTATAGAGCTCATGTCTTAATTTACATTTCTGCTAGATGTGGGCCTTAGATAAGCTGTGAAGTTAACACCAAGAGGGAACATGATCAACAGAAGGATCTAGAGTCTCTGAAGGGTAGCAGAACCACTCCTGATACCAAGACAGGTGGGTGTCCTGTGCTTTCTCAGTGAGGTAAGAATTCCATTCTTTTATTAAGATTTATTTTACTTATTTGAAAGAGTTACAGAGAGAGGAAGAACCAGAAGGGGGGTCCTTCCATTCCACTGGTTCACTCCCCAAATGACTGCAACGGCCAGAGGCAAGCTGATCCGAAGCCAGGAGCCAGGAGCTTCCTCCAGGTCTCCCACGTGGGTGCAGAGGCCCAAGGACTTGTGCCATCTTCCTCTGCTTTCCCAGGCCACAGCAAAGAGCCAGATCAGAAGAGGAGCAGGCAGGACACAAATCAGCACCCATATGGGATGCCAGTGCTGCAGGCTAGGGTTTTTACCCGCTGTGCCACAGCGCAGCCCCTTTTCTTTCTAACAACTCATCTGTAACCCATTCAGGATGCAGTCCTCAAACCTCTTCTTATGTATACACTGTAGTTGATCTCTTCTAGTCTATGGCTTTAAATAGCATACACAGGCTGATGACTAACAGTGTGTCTCCTGTCCCGGCTTGACCCTGAGTGTTTTCGCCAGTTAACTGGCTACACTTCAATGTCCAACAGGCATCTCAAACTCCTGACACATCCAAAACGAAGTGTTCAATGTTTATCCCATATCCCTCTCCTCTTCTCCATCTTCCCCCATTACAGTAAAGGGCCCCAGCTTCATTCCTTCACCTGGTTACGCAGGGTATATGTGTGTGTATGCGGAGGGAGTGGCAATGGAAGAAATCTGTCATCCTTGGTACCTCTTCTTTTCATATTCCTTATCCTGCCCGTGTGTACGTCATGTTTAGATCTTCAAGCCTACTCAGAATATGGCCAGTGCTCATGACTCCCCATCACCACGGTGCGAGCCCAACCTGCCACCACATTTGCTCCTACTTGGTTTCCCTTCTTTCACCCAGCGGCTCTTCCAGGGCTGCACCTCCAGAAGCTGTTGTGACCCTGGTAACACATCTCATGTCATGCCGTCTCCGGCTCAAAGTCCTCCTCCGGTGGCATCCCATGGCGCTGAGAACACAGCACACAGTCCCCACGCCAAGGCCTCACGTGACTTAGCACTCCGTGCCTTTTCACTTCCTGCCCTTCTCCTCCCTCCCTCTGCTCCCAGCATCCTGGCCTCCCTGATGTTCTGGAACTAGGCCAAGCACACTGCTTGAGGTCTCCGGCTCTTTGTGTCGATTGTTCCCTCTGACTGGGATGCTCTTGTCCAGATACTTACCTGACTCACTCATCTCCTTTAGCTCTCCGCTCCAATGGCACCTCTCAGAGCCCCCTATTTATCGCCTCTAAACAGCTCCACCATTCTCACCCCCACCTTTGTCCTCCTCTTCCTCAGACACTAAGCAGCACCTGACATTACACTAAGTACACAGTTATGTATTTGTGTGTCTTTCCACTTAGCATGTGAGCTCTAGGGAAACCTTGACCTCAGCATCCCCAGTGCCTGGTACACAATTTTCCACCTACTGCAGGCCCTGGGTCAGCATCTGTTAAATAAACAGAAGACTGTTCTATTTGTCTGGTTTCTTGACGCGACCATAGCAAGAGCCAACAAATACTTGAGGCTTAATTTGGTGAGTGGCATTTGGCTTTTAAAATTTGTAAAATGGGGGCCAGCGCTGTGGCATAGTGGGTAAAGCCGCCGCCTGCAGTGCTGGCATCCCATATGGGCACCGGTTTGAGTCCCAGCTGCTCCACTCTGATCCAACTCTCTGCTATGGCCTGGGAAAGCAGAAGACAGCCCAAGTCCTTGGGCCCCTGCACCCGCGTGAAAGGCCCCAAAGAAGTTCCTGGCTCCTGGCTTCAGATCAGCCCAGCTCCGACCGTTGTGGCCATCTGGGGAGTGAACCAGAGGATAAAAGACCTTTATGTCTATTTCTCTCTCTCTCTCTCTCTGCCTGTGACTCTTTAAAATAAATAAATCTTTAAAATTTGTAAAGTGGTCTCTGAATTGTATTTTTCCTCTTGGGTGGGGGTAGGGCACAAGGAGCTCCCACTGCACACTAAATATACTTCATCTGGGTGGTAGTTGTACAGGTGCATGTGCTAAGGATCTACTGAGCTGTACACTCAAGATTTGTGTGCTTTAAATTGCACCACCAGTAAGAGCTTTTTATATAATTTTCTAAAAAGCTTTATTTATTTGAAAGTTAGAGAGAATCTTCCACCCGCTGGTTCACTCTCCAAATAGCTGCAATGGAGCTGGACTGGAAGTGGAGCAGCCGGGACTCAAGCCAGCGCCCGTATGGGATGAAGGCGCTGCAGGCCGGGGCTTTAACCCACTGCACCACAGTGCCGGCCCTTATATAAAATTTTTATTCAAACCTGTATTTATTTGAAAGGCAGAGAGAGAGAGAGAGAGAGAGAGAGAGAGAGAGAGAGAGAGAGAGAGAGGCAGGCTTCCATCCCTGGTTCACTATCCAAATGGCCACAACGGGCAAGGCGGGCCAGGCCGAAGTCAGGAGTCTGGGGCTTCTTCCAGGTTTCCCCCGTGGGCGTGCTTGGACCATTCTCCACTGCTTTGCGCAGGTGCTCTATCAGGGAGCTGGACCGGGGCTGGAGCAGCCACACGGGATGCCGGCGCTGCAGGTGGTGGCCTTACCCGCTCCACCACAACGCAGGCTCCATAGTAAAAGCTTTTCTTAAAAAAGGGTCCGGCGTGGCAAGAGCAAGGACTGAGGTCTGCACAGCCCGCTTGGTTGTCACCCTCTCAGCACTAAGATGTGGGCTGCCTGCTCTCCTCGCCCCCTGGCCTCCCACGCCGGGTGCAGCCCTCGGCACTGTGTTCCCACGCCTACAGCATGCGGGATGCAGGTGTAGGGATCAGCCTCGACGCGAGACGGAGCTTCCCTCAGAGGAGCCCGGCGCAGGACAGAGGAATAACGAACGGCTCAGCCTTGTATCCGGGCAGCGGCACTGAGCCCACGCGCGCTGGAAGCGCGAAACACTCCGGGACACCTGCCCGCGGCGCGCGTCACAAAGCCCGGGCCCCCGGGCCACACCGGCGCGCACGCGCAGCCCAGCCCCGGCGGCGCAGGCGCACGGCGGCCCCGCGCCGAGGAAAACCCGGGAAGGAGGCCTGCGGGCGGGCGGGCGCGCGCGCGCCAGGGAGCGCGGCGGCAGGGGCGGGGCGAGGCGCGCGCCATGGAACAGCGGTTAGCAGAGTTCCGGGAGGCCCGGAGGCGGGCCGGGCTGGCGGCCCAGCCTAGCACTTCGAGCCAGAGCGCAGGAGCCTCGGCAAAGAAGACTGAAGCAGCTGAGCCTCCAGAGGCAGCCCCAGGCTGGCTAACACGGTTCTGGGTGTGGAAACCGAGGGCCGCGAGCGCCCGAGTCCAGCCCGGCCTCGCTCAGGTGAGAGCAGGGAGGCCTTGCTCCCGGAACTGGCCTCGGAGGCACTCCCCCCCACCTCGGGCCTCCCTGAAAACCCTGTGCTGACGCCCCGCCCACCACGCGGCGGCCCGCCCCTCACGTGCCGGGCCCGGCCACGCCCCCTTGGCGCCGTCCGGGCGAGTTTTCCTCCGGGGCGCCGGGCGGGACTGAAGGCGCCTCGCTCCAGCTCCGGAGCCGGCGCCTGACGTGTCACCCGGGCGCGTCGCCTGCGCAGCTCCCGATCGATCGCAGGCCGTCGTAAGCCAGGGCCCCCTGGCCACCGATCATTCCCCGAGAGCCGAGTGATCCACGTGGCTTTGGGAAGCGTCTTCACAGCGCCCAGCCCCGTGCTAAAGGGCTGGTGGAGACCGACGGGGAGTGGCTAGCAGAGGGGCCTGCGTTTTTGTGGTACCCGGGGTCCCCACAGCCCGGCTTTGTGAACCTGTGCGTTGAATCCCGAGCTGCCCCGAGTGGGGTGCCGGTTACTGCCACGGCGTGGGGCGGGGGGCATACGCTTGGGCGTGGCTGTAGGATGAGGGAATGGATGGGGTGGACGTCCAAGGCGGAGAAAGGATTTGGATTGGTAGGATAGGCTTTTCGCCCCTAACTCGATTCTTATTGATTGAGAGTGCTGTGGCTTCATGTAGCTTTCACTCGTAAAAGTAAAGGGACAAGGCGACTGGCACGCGACATCCGCAGCGTCCCCATGGAACACGTAACAAAACACGTCAAGGGAAAATCCCTGCTTGCTGACAGCCCCTGGCAAGACCTTTGTGCCTCCCAAGTGTGATAAGAACCAAACAAGTGATTTTGGGAAAATTAAAATGGGGGTGGGCATGGATCCTCGCGGTCGAGATGCTGGTTGGGACACCCCAGTCCTGTGTGGAGTGCCTGGGCTCCATACCTGTGCCACAGGGTTCTTCCCAGCTGTTGGCACTTGAGGAGTGACCCGGTCTTATTTTTCTCCAAAAACAAACAAAAAGTGCTGGAGTGAAGTACCTAAGTACCTTACTCACCTAAACTTAAGTTCAACTGTTACTACACAACATCTGATTTGAGGAACTATTTTTTTTTGAACTTCCTGTTTCTCAGTTTTGAGCCCCCATGTTATTCTCTACAACACACAGGGTCCCACGTGGTTTCCAGACAGAGCTAAAAAGAGGGCAGCAGGGTTCAAACAGCCCCATTTCCTTGCGTGCCAGTTTGTCTCAATTGTCTCTGGTTAACTCTACTGTTGATCAGAACTGAGTGTAGCAACTGCAGAAGATTTTAGAATGTTTGCCTTACCCGGTAATCCCCAGTGGTTAAAGAACAATGCCTAACGCACACAAAGAGCCTTTGGCTGCCTGTCTCATTTCCAGAGACGCTGAGCTGGGAGAAAGCTTCCCTTACAGTGGACGCTCAAGAGCTGGTGGCCCGACAGAAAGATGGGGGAGATGCTGGGCCCCCCGTTGGGGCCCCGCAACCGCTCCACATTGCATAAGCAGCTCTGCTTTAGACTCATTTTCATCCACTCTCTCATTCCCGGGTTTGCCCTGGTGTAAAAACTCTCATAAAAAAAATTTTTTTTTCCTAAGTTATATCTATGTCTTACCTGATAATGCTGATGGCACACACTGTGGCCTGTCAGACATTTCTTTGACTTTCTATTTGGAGCTGCTGCTTTTCAGTATTGGTAGAGAAGTATCCAGTTTTGCTGGGGGGAAAGCAGTTGCCCCCAAATAAAACGCTCAATTCTGTGATGAGCTTTTTACCATGCCAGGACAAAAAATGCTTTAACTTTTTTTTTTTAATCCTGAAGGAGCCTCCTGCCTCCTGCCCCCACTCCAGCCCTAGCTCACACAGGCCACCCCAGGGTGCTGTTCAGCCCTAGGGTCCATTCCCCAACTCTGTAGATTTGTATCTACAAATACTGTCTTTGGAATACCCCACTAAGCACAGTCTCACACTGGCCCCCAAATCTAGAGGTCATCTTTCTCCCTCTCCCTTACTCTCCTTCCTCTCTCCTTCCCTCCCTAAACCCCCTCCTTCCACAAAACTGTATCCTGTGCCCACAGTGTTCCCGCTCTGTCCTGCAACTTAGGAGTCCACATGGTTAAGACACGGAGTCCAGCTGTCCTGGAACGTGTGTTTCACTTTGGGGTGGCATGGGAAGGAGGACAAACGGTGGCATGATACATGCTATGAAGGGCAACTAAAAATAAATCTGAGCACTATGATAGTGAGTGGGGGTGAGGGGGACAAAGCACTGTTTTACACTGGGTGAGCAGGGAGGGTCTCCCTGAGGAGGTGGCATTTGAGGAGAAGGAACTACCCCTGCAGAAGCCTGGGGGACAAGGCCAAGGGCACCTGCGGTGACATTTTGCTGAGGTTTGTGGAAGAGGGAGCCAGCAAGGTTATGTGAGCGGTAGCCTCAGAGGTAGGAAACAGCTTGGCTATTTGAGAAATAGAAATGCCTTCCCTGAACTATGCCTGTACAAAGGGACTTCCAAAAGTTCATGGGAAATATGTATCCTGAAAACATGCATGGATTTCAAACTTTTTTTTTTTGCACCAAAATAAACATCTTTTAATTCCATATTCCACCTACTTTTTTAAAGATTTATTTATTTATTTGAGAGAGAGTTAGAGAGGGAGAGACAGAGAGAAAGGTCTTTCATCCACTGGTTCACTCCTTAAATGGCTGCAACAGTTGGAGCTGGCCAGTCTGAAACCAGGAGCCAGGAGCTTCTTCCTGGCCTCCTAATAGGCCCAAGCACTGCTTTCTCAGGCCATAAGCAGAGACCTGGGTTGGCAGTGGAGCAGCTAGGACTCAAACTGGTGCCCATATGGGCTGCTGGTGCCGCAGGCAGAGCTTAGCTTACTACCCCACAGTGCCGGCCCCTCCACACACTTTTTGAGCTTGCTACAAACATCTGACACAGCTTTCAGGGCAGAGGGCTAATTGGTAGTAGAGTCCGTTCCAAATGGGCCAGAGGGACTTTTGTGTCCCCCACCTCTTGTTTGTTCCCTGTGCCAGTTTATTCACCACCATCTCCCTCTAACGTCCCCAGCCTATCTCCCTACCACCCCCCAAAAGGCCCCCAATTAAGTCAGAAGAGCTTTGGAGGGAGACCATCCTGGGGTCTCAGGTCTACCTCATATCTGCCTGTCACCAGCTGTGTGACTGTAGGGAAATGGTTTAACCTCCCAGTGTTTCCTCATCAGTAAGTTGGTGATAATCATGCCTTCTCCCAGATTACAGGAGCTTCAGCATTTTTTAAGGCTGTTTTGCTGGGCCTTCTGCTAAGAGTTTCAGCAGCTTCCCATTTCTAGAATCTTCACTGTTGCCTGCCTGGCCCTATGTGTTGTGGCTGTGGCCCTCCCTCAGGCCCCCCACCCCCCATGCCCTGGGCCAGGATGCTGCAGTCACACTGCCCGTTCCCAGAGGCCAAGCCTTCCCCGCCCTGATGCTTCCTTCTTGGACTGGCAGCATTGTGCACGCCGTCACAGCTGAGAGGCACAATTCTCTCTTTAAGGATGGGAGGCGGTGCCAGTGCTATGTTACGGGTCTCCCCAGTAAGACTTTGCAACCTAATTGAAAAGCTAATCATTAACAACGTTGATGCTAGAAGAGAAGGGTCTGGGGCCGGCACTGTGGCGCAGTAGGTTAATCCTCCGCCTGCGGCGCCGGCATCCCATATGGGCCCCGGTTCCAGTCCTGGCTGCTCCTCTTCTGATCCAGCTCTCTGCTGTGGCCCGGGGAAGCAGTGGAAGATGGCCCAATCACTTGGGCCCTTGCATCCACGTGGGAGACCTGGAGAAAGCTCCTGCTTCCTGGCTTTGGATCAGCTCAGCTCCAGCCGTGTGGCCTATTGGGGAGTGAACCAGCTGATAGAAGACCTGTCTGTCTCTCTCCTTCTCACTGTCTGTAACTCTACCTCTCAAATAAATAAAATCTGGAAGGAACAAAATAGACTTCTGGAAGCACCAAAGTCACATGACGAACATTTTATCAAGACCAGTAACTGTGGTCCCCTTTTACATTTTCACATGAAGGAGAATAAGGGAGGAAACTGAAACAAATGGACTGACTGCCCTGCTGTGTGTTCACAGCCAGCGTGTGAGGGGTGCTGTTTGGCTCTGGAGATGCCTGAAGGCCCAGTGGCAGTCCATGGCCTTCGTGGCAAGTGTGGACCAGCCAGGGATGCGGCTGACCTGTATGAAGGATGCCTGGGCACTGAGCAGTTTGGCCGGGGTGGGGGTGGGGGTGTCAGGCCACACCCAGTGCACATGGAGCTTGCTAGGAAGGCAGATGAGGAGTTGAGAGGTGGAGAAGACCCAGGACCATGGGCAGGGGCGGGGAGTGGGCTGTAGAAGAGGACTGCATTATGCAGTTCAGGAGAAACTGTAGACCACTGTTCTCCAAGCTGCAAGTTGTGGTCCATTAGCTGATGGTGAAATCAGCGTAGAAGATTTTGTTCCCCATTAAAGATCTTCAAAGAATGGAATAGGAAAGAAAGAAAGTAACCAGGGAGAGAAAGTGATGACTTGTGGGGTCGGTGCGTGGGTCACATACAATGCTTTCTGGAAGTTGCTTTGAAAACAGGGCTGGAGATGAGGCATCCAGCGCAGGGGCTGTGGGCAGCATGGCCCTCCAGCCCAGGGAAACTTCCTGACTGGCTGGTCTGGGGGAGGGAAGGGGCGTGGCAGGCCATCTGGTTAGGAGATGTGGGGCTTGTGATGAGGCCCTGGGTGGGATGGCCATGGGATGGAATGGTCAGGGGCCCCATGATATCTAACAGTGACTTTCTAATACACGAAAGGGATTTCCACGTCCTGCCTCTGGTGTGGTTTCCGTGTTAGAAACACCGCACTCACCGTGGCCCCTATGCTCAGCAGCCCTGCGGTGCACCTGACTGTACCTGCCGCACACCTTGTGGCCGTGGCCTTGTCAGCCACTAGGGAGTTGTGCTTTTGGGGAGCACAGATTTGCCCTGGTCCACAGCAAACCGATGTGAAGAAAGGACTCTCACTAGGGGACGTACGCCGTCGGGGCGCTGTGCGGCATTTACCGGCTCACGGCTCCCCAGGGTTCCTGCTGCTCAGATGGGGTGGAGCGGGGCCGGGATGGTGGCAGACTAGGGCAGGGCGAGGAACCGGCCGTCAGGAGCAGCCTGCCCGCTCCGCTGCTCTTTGCCCTCACTAGTGTTTGCTTGTGTGTCCTAGGACGGGGCTCGGCCCGGCAGCAGCGCGGCCCGGCGCCCACAGGACCCAGCTGGCCCTCCACCCGCGCCTCCACCTGCGCCTCCGCCTGGGAACTGGTCTTTGCTGACCAACATCACCTTCTTGAAGGTTCTCCTCTGGCTGGTGCTTCTGGGGCTGTTTGTGGAGCTGGAGTTCGGCCTGGTGTATTTTGTCCTGTCCTTGTTCTACTGGATGTACGTGGGCACCCGCGGTCCCGGAGAGAGGCGGGCCGGGGAGAAGAGCGCCTACTCCGTGTTCAACCCGGGCTGCACGCCCATCCAGGGCACCCTGACGGCAGAGCAGCTGGAGCGCGAGCTGCTGCTGAGGCCCGCCGAGGGGCCGTAGCGCGCCGCTGCCCTGGACGGACGCGCACAAGACAGCTGGCCGCCAGCCCGGCCGCACCCTGCGTCCTTGCACCTCGGGACTTCGCCTCGTTTCTGGCGGAACTGTGAATGACGCTCGCAGCGGGTCTGATGCCATTTATAAAAATTACGTTCTCCAGAAGGGAGGCCTGCTCGGCTCGTTATTTGAGAGGGCCTGTGTGGAGTTGTCTGTTAAAGTACCCAGCCCTCCGAAGTGATGCCTAGGCGCATCAGGGCTGTCCATCAACCAAAACTGTTCTCTCTAAATCTTATAGCATTTTCTTCTCCTGGAAGTATTTATTTGGGGGGAGAGGGAGAGTTACTTGGTTTTGGTTTTGGTTGTTCTTCCTGCCTTAGTCCTCGCCTTTTCAGTCACGAATGTTGCAAAACAAACTCCTAAAATGTCTCCCTTTCAGAAGCAGGTCCTCTGTCCCAACCTCGCCATCCGCCATTCCCCACTCCGTAAGGAAGCTGAGAGCAGAGGGAGTCCTGGGCACCGAGAGGGGATCCCGGAGACTCTACAGCTGGTTGATCAGGATAGCTTCGTCAGGAAAGATTCTGGAAGATTCTGGGTCCGAAGGCTGGGAGTGGCACTGCAGGCTTACTGGCTGCTGGGGGCGTGTCTTACTTAGAGAGAGCAGTGTCTTGGTCTGCAGCCCCTGGTGAAGAGTTACTTCAGCAACGCTCCTCAGGCCCAAGTTCAGGCCAGCATCTTCCATAATGGTGTCGGAGTTCAGGTTCCTTACAAACCATTAAATACTTTATGGATCACACTGCTGGTTTTTTTCCAAACGGTATTTTAAACAATTACTGATACCTTCGTTAAGTTTTCAGCTTCAGAGTTCAGTTATTAAATCTTGTGGTATGCAAATAACTTTAACACTTAGGAAACATTGTTAAGTAATAGAGGTCTGTAGGTCTGTCGTGAGCTGGTGCTGTGGCCTAGAGGGTTAAGCCACTGCCCCTGCAGTGCAGGCATCTCATATGGGCCCTGGCTTGTTATCCTACTGCTCCACCTGCAATCCAGCTCCCTGCCAATGCACCTAGGAAAGCAGTGGAAGATGGCCCAAGTGCTTGGGCTGCTGCACCCACGTGGGAAATCCAGATGGAGTTCCAGGCTCTTGGATTCGGCCTGCCCAAGCCTCAAGCTTTGTAGTCATAAGAGCAATGAACCAGTGGATGGAAGATCTCTGTCTCTCCCTGTAACTCTGCCTTTCAAATAAATAAAATATTTTTAAAAAGAGGTCTATTAATTATTTCCTTTATTCTTGTTTGATTTAAAGCAGGTTGTTAGCTCAAATTAAATCTTCAAAAGTTTATTTTGTGTTTATTTCTTTGAAAGGCAGAGAGAGAAGGAAAACAAGAGAGCTTTCTCCCATCAGCTGGTTGACTTTCCAAATGCCTGAAATGGCCAAGGCAGGGCCATGTCCAAGCCGGAAAATCTGGAACTCCATCTGGCTCCCCATGTGGGTGGCAGGGACCCACGTGCTTGAGCCATCACCTGCTGCCTCCCAGGGTGAGCATTGACAGGAAGCTGTGATTGGGAGCAGAGCCAGGACTTGTGGCCATTGCAACTGATATCCAAACTGCTGAGCCGAATGCCCACCCCAATTGAAATTTAACCACCAGGCACCCGAGGCATGACCAGGAGAAAAAGCAGACATATTCCCTCTTCTCCAAGCACACAGCCCAGCTGGGAGTGAGGTGGGGCACAGAATAAAACACATGCTCACAGTAAGCTAGAGATGAGATTTTGTTCTGGCAAGAGCAGAGGTGAGGTGCTCATGGACCCCATCGTGGGGTCAACCCGCCCCATGTGCTTCAGTCCCCACTGGAAATCCTCACACCCGTCACTCATCTTTCCAGCCCTTTGCTGATGGGGATGGTGACCCTGGGATCATCCAGTTGAGTAGCAGGTGCCTCGTAGCTCACAGAGAAGTCTTCCTCCCATGACTTGCATCTGAACTGGATGTGTGGAAGGTCCAGGAAACACGTGTATCCCTACCAAACCGGGAAGTTTTGACTGTGTTTTAGGTAGTGTTTGTTTTTCAATCTGTCCTTTTAAGGCTTTAGTAATTCCCCGACATTTTTCCATTTCATAAAAGCTCAATACAAGGTAAAATCTCCCTAATCAAAGTTTCACTACAGTGCACAGGGCCATAAGCACCGTTGTAGGAAAGCATCAATTTGCATTTTAAAAATGTGTAATTCAGGGAGCAGGCATCTAGAGCAGCAGTTAAGACACTAGTTGGGATGCCCACATCCCTACTGAAGTGCCTGGGTGCAAGTCCTGGCTCAGCTTCCGATTGTAGCTTCCTGCTAACGTGCCCCCTGGGAGGCAGCAGGTGGTGACTCAGTGCTCCGGTCCCCCCACCCACATTGGAGACCTGGATTGAATTTCTGTTTCCCAGTCTTCACCTGGCCCAGCCCTGCGCTTGTGGGCATTTGGGGAGTGAACTGGCAAATGGAAGATCTCTGTCTTTCTGTCACTCTGCCTTCTGAATAACATAAAAAAATAAAAATTTGAGAAATAAATAGGACATCAGTGTCGTGGTGCTGCAGGTTAAGCTTCCACCTGCAATGCTGGCATCACATATGGGCACCTGTTTGAGTCATGGCTGTCCCACTTCCAATCCAGATCCCTGCAAATGCTTCTGGGAGAAGCAGGGGAAGATGGCCCAAGTGCTTGGGCCCCTGCCACCCACGTGGGAGACCCTGATGGAGTCCCAGGCTCCTGGCTTCAACCAGTGAACCTGTGGATATAAGATATCTCCCTCCCTTCCTCCTTCCCTCTGTAATGCAGCCTTTCAAATAAATAAATCAAAAAATAAAAGATTTGGGGAAAATCGGAATCTTCCCCTGAAACAAAACACCTGTAACTGAATTAAGATTTGGTCCGTTTAGTAATCCCTGTAAGGTAGAGACATCTCCCCAGCACGCAGGAGACTCAAATTATGGGTGAACCTCAGTAGTGAAAACGGGGCTGTTGATGTGAGGAAGAGCCCAGGCTGCCGTAAGCCCATCTTCCATGGGATCCACCATGCAGTCTGTCACTCCCCCCTGCCATGGTGGCATTGGCTTCTGGGAGGAGTGGGGTGTGAACCAATTAAATGCCTGACAGGTCATCAGATCACTCAGCGTTAGGTACAGTCTTGATTCCCTGGATTGAGGCCGATGGATCTCAGAACTTCCAGTCAGGGCCTGACCACTTACCCAGCGTGCAGCTGCCGTGAAAGGCGTCTCCGTCGGCAGGGAACCTGGAATCCAGGGGCTCGTGTGCGCAGTCCCGTGACAGCTGCGTTCACGGGGAGGCTGTTTCCAGCCCAGTCCTACTCGTACATTGGCCTTTGCCTGCTCATAAGGGCTGTTCGATGAGTCTCAACTAACGGGCTAGAAGGGCTCCCAGGGCCATCACCTGTGTTCCTTCTCCTCTCCACCTGGGGCAGAGCACATTTGTTCCTCACGATTCCTGGTTTGTTTCTAAAGACGACTCTGGTTACAAGAGTCAGGCACTTCTAGGAAGTTCTTTAGGTTTAATGAAAGGATTTTTACCACCTGACTCCCCCCTACCCCCCACCCCCCCGCCCCACTGGCACCCGGGGTCATTTCTTTTTCTTTTCTTTTTTTTTTTTTTTTAGATTTATTTATTGTTTGAAAGTCAGTTACACACAGAGAGAAAGAAAGGCAGAGAGAGAGAGGTCTTCCATCCTCTGGTTAATTCCCCAATTGGTCGCAACGGCTGGAGCTGGGCCCATCTGAAGCCAGGAGCTTCCTCTGGGTCTCCCATGCAGGTGCAGGCACCCAAGGGCTTGGGCCATCTTCCACAGTTTTCCAGGCCATAGCAGAGAGCTGGATCAGAAGTGGAGCAGCCAGGACTTGAACCGGCACCCATATGGGATGCCGGTGCTGCAGGCAGCGGCTTTACCTGCTAGGCCACAGCACTGGCCCCCAGGGTCATTTCTTACTCTGATCCCTGTGGGCCTGGAGCCCCAGAGCCCTAGGTGAGTGTCAGCAGTGTGGTGAATGACTCGGTTCTCTGCTCGCCCTCTCTGTTCTTCAGGGTAAGTCATCCGATTTGAACCTCGGGGACACAGCCACTTCCAAGCCATCCCTGACCCATTCTGAGGGCTCCAGCTATGGTTGGGGTCCTCTTGGTGGCTGCAGGGACCTTTGTCAAAAGCTGTGGGGTTTTATGGTGATGGTGGAGGCATGTGTGTCTATTTTGTGGGCCCGCGGTCTCACACCTTCCTTGTGATTGGTCTGCGCCCTGCCATCAGACTCAGCAGCTCTGCAGGACTGAAAGGGGGCAACACAGCTGGACGAACCAGTGATCGGCAGCTTGACAGAAGGTCAGGTTCAGACTGTGTTTTTGGCTCCTGCCAATCACACCAGCAAATGTTTTTGTGGGCACACTTAAGCTTGGCGCTGCTGGGGCATTGTAGCGGTCCTGAGTAGCCTGAGCGGGAGAACAGGTTACACGCAAGGCCAGGAGGGAGGCCTTGGGGCATCTTGCCACCAGGGGGTAGCATGGAGCTGCCGCTGGACCTTGTGGGCCCCTTCCCGGCACACTTGGCCGTTTATGTGATGTGCAAACCCCCCTGGGCTGTGTATCTGAACCACCGCTGTTGCTTTTTCAGGCATTCTCACTTTTTAAGGTTCACAGACTAAAGGGCTCCTCAGAGGTCCTGGGAAAGGCAGAGAAAGCTCCCCGAAGTGATTTATACACGCCTGCATATTTTCAAAGAGAACAACAAAACAGTACCCCAGTTGCTTGTCCACGTCTGAGCTGCAAGGGGGAGGGAATAACTGGAAGTTACCAGCTGGCAGAGTAAAACGGATCCCCAAGCCAAAGAAAGTAAAATCCAAGCCCTATGCTTTGGTTTCTATCACAGGGCCTTTGATGTCCCCACGTCGGCGCCTCGGGGTAAGCACTTGGTTCTCGTTCTCCCAAGGCTGAGACAGGAGAAAGGTGAGGGTACAAAGGACCCCGTGATAAGCTGTGTAACTTAGCATGGATGTGTATGAAGGCCATGGGAGCTCTGTGTGTGTGTGTGTGTGTGTGTGTGTGTTGGGGGAGGAGCTCACGCTCAGTTCTGAATTCATGCCACATGGCATCTTCACTTCTACGTGAAAAAACACTGTGTCGGTACCAAGCCCTGGATGGATGTTTTGGCAGGCCTGGGCTCAGGGCCACCTGCCTGCATGGGGGTCTCCTGTGGTGATGTTAACGTGCAGACTCCAGGGCTGCACAGGCCCACTGACGCAGGAGGCCTGCATTGGGAACGCCTCCCTGGGAGCGTCTCCAGCACCCTGAAGATGGACAGCCCTGCACATCAGTCATACGTGTCAGCACAAGGACTGCCGGAGCCAAGCACGGGAAGACACGCGTGTGTTTTCCAAGGGGGCGACAGGCTTGCCTACTTTGCAGACTTCATTGGGAACCCCGAAAAGGAAATGCAAGGTAGCTTTATAACAGTGAGGAACTAGCTCAAAGACTTGTAAGTAAGCGCACTTGAGTTTGTTTTTTTGGTTTTTTTTGTGTGTGTTTTTTGGTTTTTTTGGGTTTTTTTTTTTTTTTTTTTTTTGACAGGCAGAGTGGACAGTGAGAGAGAGAGACAGAGTGAAAGGTCTTCCTTTACCGTTGGTTCACCCTCCAATGCCGCCGCGGCCGGCGTGCTGCGCTGATCCGATGGCAGGAGCCAGGTGCTTCTCCTGGTCTCCCATGGGGTGCAGGGCCCAAGCACTTGGGCCATCCTCCGCTGCACTCCCGGGCC